GAGAACCCCAAGGACTCCACAGTTCAACCCTGAGCTACATATATTCTCTTCTATTGGAAAGGTGATAAGCAAACGGCATACAGACAGGGAAGTGGAGGCAATGTCTGAAGATTGGCAGCTATTAGAAGCAGGCAAGAGGACTGTCATTCAACTGCCAGGACCACGAGTTATGGTTAGTAGCATATTCTGGTGGGAGTCCTGCCTGGAGCTTGGCGCTTTGCCAGGAACTCAGTAGGAACTAGAAGAGGGACAACCACATTGAGACAGTGCCTCATCCCAACTACAGTAAGAACGTTTGGAAGGAGGCAAAGGTAGTATGCCATTTTAAGACTTATAAGACTTACTTTTGCTTGAATTAAGTATTAAAGGACTGAGTATTAAAGACATATTTACTTGGCAACATTATCTTGCAAGTCCTAGATGGGTGGAGAGCAAAAGTCTGTTGTTGGGGAAGGTGTGTGCTGCAATAAAGTACTTTGTGCAGATTTGCTATGATGTGGTGTGTCCAGTCCATGGAAAGTAAAGAACCCTCACCCCACCCAAAAAAACCCTCAACAAAGCCTGTAAAATATCTCTTTGAAATATTTTGACATTGTGAAACGGATTCCATTGCTAAAATGATCCTTTTCTTGGTCATTGTTCATCTTCTGATGACATTTTGCAACAGAGAAGAGGTTGTTAATGCTTTGTTACACACTCCTCCTTTGCAACATGAAGGTTGGTGCCAAAATGTTGGTAAGTTAATAACATTCATTCTAATGCATTTTAATTAACAGCAGAGTTGAAAAAAAAAGCAAAGGATTTGTCAAGTGCTTCCCCACTTTATTTCATCTGCTTTTTCTTCCTCTCCTTTCCAATAATTTTCTAACAGAGAAGCAGTTTATTTGGCTTTTTTAAATATTGGCTGCAGTTTCATGACCCCTTTGCCTCCTGTACTTTATGTATGCACAAACGTGTAAGTGAATCCTGTGCAGTTTGTGTATTCTTAGTTGGCTGATTAAATACAAAAGGGATAAAGATTTCTACACCTCAATATTTGTGTAGAAGAATTTTGGGAAGCATCATTTGCATGGAAGAACAGTAAAGCCCCTTCTTATTGCAATCACAAAGTGTACAGGACCTATAATCCTTTAAATCTAGCCACACTGCTGGAGAAAAAAATCCTTTGCATATCCTAAGCTAGTTTTTGTTTTAACTACAGTTAGATGAACAACCCATAATGGCCTGATTCCCCCATGTTGTGGGGAATTATGGTTTACAAATCCAAACAGGTAAAAGTACACATCTCCCTAAGCCAAAAGAGGCACCTGTTGCTTCATGTGAGAATTGTACAACTGAAGGAGAATTTCTCCCACAGTCTTCTTGAGCAGGTATTGTTTCTTTCCTACATTTTTCTGACTGTGTCTTGTTCTTGGTTTTACAGATGCGGATCCTAGCAAGCACCAGCATCCCAGTAAGTGTGCATTTCTCTCTCATTTGGTTCAGCTAATGAAGCCATTTAATTCATTAAAATGTATGAGGTTAATAACACTTTATCTTTCCATTTCCTATATAATTTTACATTTCCAGACAAATTAGGTACTTTTCATATAAGATACTGCATATAATATCTTTAAATTATCCATTCTGAAACCCAGTTATCTCCCAGAGAAGATCATGGAAGTCATAAAAATCAAACACAGAGAATTTCCTGCTCATCCTTTTGATCTGTGGCTATTTGTGATATTTGATATCACTTCAGTAACTAGTTCCAAACTTGTTCAATTTAGACTTTTCCTAAAGGATTACAAGACTTGATCCCAACTTGGCCCTCAAGGATGAGAGTACCCCACCAATACATTATTTGGTGCCCATCAGGCTGCCAGGCTGATCTTGTTTTACTAGATTATTTTAACTTTTCAAAAGCATAGGGAGCAAGCGTGCTCAAAGCAGAGCATCAGTCTGAAGCATAACAACCCATGGCAGCCATTTTGCAAGAGTGCCTATAAAGATTCAAAATGTGCCTGCTGTTTCAAAAAGATTGGGGACCTGTGGACCAAATGACTAACTTGATGGAAGCTGATTTAGAATCTAACCAATAAAGACTTCAGATGGGGGTTGGAAACAAACTGGGATGAAATGTGCTTACAGTAGGAAGCTGTAGTTCACATTCTGGTTACCATATTCTTAATCCTATTGAAGTTTCCAAATATTTAAAGTGGCTCTATAGACAGTATATTACAATAATCAACGGGGTTTGTTTGTTTGACCACATTTCCAGGGCTGCCTGACTCTGGGCAGCTTACAAATAAAAAAGGCAAGAACCATAATAATATCAGAAAAGAACAATAGGTGGAAGGAACAATAAAGACCCTCTTCCCCATACAACACCCAACCTAAAGGGGTCCAACAACCATTCTATTCCTTGTTTTCAAGGCTTGTTTTAAGGCAGACACAATAGGGGCAATTTGAATCTCTGGGGGGATGCTGTTCCTAAGGACAGTTGCTACAACAGGCACTGGGTCCTGCTAAGTGACACTGTTTAATCACAGAGCATGCCAACTCTGTCCAACCATATGGGATGGACAGAAACTACAAATAGCAGATGGTCCCTCAGATAACTAGGACCTATGCCATGTAGGGCTTTATAGGTGATAACCAGCACCTTTGAATTGCACCTGGAAGTCTATTGGTAATTGGTGCAGCTCACAAAGAAGGGTGTTACATGGCTGTAATGAGACCTACTGTCATGACCAGCTCAGACACAGATGAAGAAACTGAGCAACCAGTTCCAAAGTTGCTGGACGAATCACTGCCTGAGGATCTGCAGGCAGTGGAGATTGCGCTGTCCGGTAACCAGCAGGCACAGCTGCCATTAGTCTCTGAAGATGAGGAGTCTAAGCTGCCATCCCCTCCCAGTGTAAGGGCTCACTGAGCAGAGAGGAAAGCACAGCAGAGGCACTCTGCAAGGTTCCTTGCAAGAAAGGAGTCGCACCCTTCCAAATGAGTAACACTGGGGTTGCTTCTATTTAAGAACAGCAGCGAGCTCAAGCCTCTCTGTTGGCAACAACCGTTCATTTACCCAGACTCTGCGTGCCTTGATTTCCAACTTGAAACTTTGACTTTGACTCTGGACCTGAACTGGCTGATGACCCTTCTACAACATTTGGACCCTTGGACTTCACTTGACCACTCTTGTGCCTGCTGTTTTGGATTTGGAACTCTCTTAAGGCAAGCTTGCTGGACTTTTGGGACTTGTTTTATCTAATGTGTGTGCATGTGCATTTTAACTCACATTTCATTTGTTGCTTTTTATTTGCTTCACAAACTTCTCAGTAAAGTTTGCGACCACCTCTCTGTATGTTTGTGTGTGTGGCCTGAGACAGGACAGTTTGTTGCCAACTCATTAACTCCCCATTGCTCCAGGGGTAAAATTCTGCTATTGGCGATGCTGCAGCCAGAAGACAAATAAACAAGCATGGCTCAACTTGCTGCTGAAAATGCCCAGCTGACTCAGCAGGTTGCGTTACTCACAGCTCAGCTGCAAGCACTTCAAGCTCAGCTGTTGCAAGCAGCAGCAGCAGCTTGCCCCCCCCCCCACTGAAAATATCCCATAGTGTGCCCAGACAAGTTTGATGGATGCAATTTGTCTGAACTGCCTATTTTTGGGCACTATGCAATCTTTATATGAGCCTGTACCCTGAAGACTTTCCCTCTGACCGGTTTTGCATGGGCTTTGTGATTAGTCTATTGTCTGGAGTCGCTGCTACATGGGCTGCACCACTGCTAATGCAACAGAGCCCTCTGCTGAACAACTTTGCTGAATTCAGCCATCAGCTCCAAGCCACATACTCTAACCCGGTCAAGGCTCGAACAGCGAATCGCCACATCCAAGCACATAAACAAGTGCGCCACTCAGTGGCCTAATATGTACATGCATTTAAGTGAATTTCTCAAGATTTGGCTTGGAATGAAGCAGCATTTTAGGTTTGGCAGACAAAATTTTAGACAAATTGGCTAGAACTGAATGTCCAGGCAGGAATTAATACAGCTGTGCCTTTAGATTGATGGGTGTTTACAGCAGAGGAAGGCCAGATCCTGATTCAACAAGCCTGTTGTCAAGCCTGCAGTCTCCCTGCCAATGTCTATCCGTGAGCTGACATCTCCAGAAGAACCCACGCAGGTTGGGGTGCTCACCCTCAATTGACTGATTCAGAAAAGGCACAAAGGCATAGAGGGAGCCTGTGTTTGTACTGTTGGGTGCAAGGATACCTAGCTGCCACGTCCCCTACCAAGAAACCAAATTGAGCAACTTCAGGAAACAGATCCCGCCCAGTTTAGATGGGCTACTAAATTGAGGACAAGTCTTTGCAACTCAAGCCCAAACACCACGCACCACCCCATCCAAGCACCTAGTGGTCTCTGTTCTGCTGAAACTACCAGGGAAGCCTGCTTTGCAAACCTGGGCCATGATGGACTCAGGAGCTACCAGCAATTTCATGGACATTAACTTTGCTGAGAACAGTGGGATTCTCTGGCATCCCATTCAACCAACCCTGATTGTGGGAACCATTGATGGCCAGATTTTGCTATCTGGACCTGTGGCCTGGGAAACCCACAAACTGCAGATGCAGTTGGGCACCATCTGTGAAGGGGTTGAATTCTATTTTGCCTCTGCACCCCACTTTCCCATTGTATTGGGACTGGAGTGGCTACATACACATGACTCTCACATTGTGTGGTCCACAGGGGTTATCACCTTTGGCTCCCCTGCTGTAAGCCGTGTGTCAATACAGCACCTGAATCCTTTGCAGCTGAAAGAACAAAGGAACCACTCTCAGATCTTCCCTGCAAGTATGCAGAGTTTGCTGATGTGTTCAGTGAAAAGGAAGCAGACCAACTGCCTCCACATCGACCATACAATTGTCCTATTGATCTTGTCAGTGGTGCCAAGATTCTAGTAGCCTAAATTTACCCATTTTCAGAGCCAGAGTTAGCAGCTTTGTGGGACTTTATTGAAAAGAATCTGAAGAGGGGTTTCATAAGGCCCTTTTCCTCACCTGCAGCTATTCCTCTCTTGTTTTCAAGAAGAAATCAGGGGAGCTCTGATTATGCAGTGATTATTGGAGGCTGAACCAGATCACCATCAGGAATTGTTACTCCCTGCCTCTCATTTCAGAGCTCTTGGAGAGGTTATGTGGTGCCAAAGTTTTTACCAAAATCATCTTCCATGGAGCTTAGAATCTAATGCATATCTGGAGGAGTGACAAATGGAAGACTGCATTCTGCACTCAATGTGGCCATTTTGAAAATACAGTAATGCCTTTCAGCCTATCCAATGTTCCCGGGGTCTTTCAATATTTTACGAAGGATGTTTTTCGGAATCTTCTTGACCAATATGTTATTTTTTACCTGGATGACATCCTTATTTTCTCCTTATCCCCCTCTGACCATGAGAAACATGTCAGGACTATGTTGCTATGTAACTTTTTTGCCAAACTTGAGAAGTGTGAATTTGAAAAAAAACACCATTGATTTCTTGGACCACTGCATTTCTCCAGATGGAATCAGCATGAATTCTGATGAGGTGAAAGCACTCCTGACTTGGCAACCACCACACAAAACTAAAGGGGGATGCGGTGGCACAGCAGCTTAATGACGCTGGAAGTTGCCAGCCAGAAATGGTCGACACTTCAGCGGTTCGAGCCCAGCTCCATGCGGCAGACTGAGCTCCTGTTTCATCCCCAGCTTCTGCCAACCCAGCAGCTCAAAAGCAACCATGAGTAGATAAATGGGTACTCTCACCCCGGTGGGAGGAAAAACGCTGGCGGCGCCTTGTATGGGAGACGGGACCAGTTGCCGGTAACACAGAAGTCGCATACGTCCGAAAAAGACACAAAGCAACAGAAACCCCGCCTTCCTGCACCCGCCAGCTGGGCTCTGCTCTAGGAAGGAGGCAATGGCAAACCCCTTCCGAACCCCCTTGCCGTAAAAATTGCAGGTACTCGTCCAGGCAGTCGCCACAGAATCAGTCACGACTGAGT